TACCACCAGATTGCACGACCACGAGTAGTAGTAGCAGTAGTAGTAGCAGTAGTAGCAGCAGCAGCAGCCGCAGGAGGAGGAGGAGGAGGAGTAGTAGTAGTAGTAGTAGTAGTAGTACAGTAGTTGAAGCAGAAGTAAGAAGCAGAAATAGTAGTAGAAGTGGAAGACGAAGTGGAAGTAGAAGTTGGAGCCACTGCAGCAGCCGGCATCGAACTGCTTAATATTCAACGGTAATCAGAATAGTGCGTGGTGCATTGAAGTTTCCAGTCATGCAGTCATGTTGCCAGGTGCTTTTGAAAGTAGCTCGAGTAGAAAGAACAGGAGAAAGCAGACTCCTGCCCAGGCGAGTTGTTCGTTTCTGCAGCGACCTGCGCATCATGGTCAACGGAATAGCAGGGCGGCTCTGCCACAATGTGTGGACCGGAAAGGGATCTGCATGTGGGAGTATTCAGCACCACATTTCTCCTAGGTATTGAAGTCCAGCGTGAAGAGTCCGAGCACAAGAGTTTCATAGAGCTTATTGCAGCGCAAACTTTCCGCAAGTTTTTCTTGTACGCGGGTTATTGGAGAAGAGAGTGGTGCCCGTTTTCTATGCGAACGGCTACACCTGCTGAAATGCTGGATGGAAAATTCAACGACATTGCCTGCATTATTGACCGGGACACCTTTGCATTTGTGTATCGCTAAAGCCCTGCAAAAGCCTTCAAGGCATCCTAAAGAGCAAGCACATTCTCAATCTCAGTCCCCTGCTTCAAGTGCAGGACAACAGGTACCGCTTCCAGATGTTTCGGGCCCGGCAGGAAAAGTCATCATTTCGCTTCGAGGGAGAAGGAATGCTTCGAAAATCTTTCACTGAAGAGACGGCAACTCACCAGCGTGCCGAACAGACACCCTACAAAAAACTGCTCCACTGCTTACATTCTTCAATTCGAAATCCGTGTTGTATTGTCAGCCTCGTCCTGCCCATTGATGCGATCAGCCCGCAACCATGAGTCTCCATCCGTTCAAAGTCGTCCCGCAATTGGTGAACCATACAGACAAGCTAGCAGTGAAGGCAGTGTCGGTGAGTGTGTTTGTATGTGTGTGTTTGTTGACACAGTCACTACCAAGGTCTGTGCGAGTCCTGTTCTGGGCGTTGATGCTGCTGGCGATCGTCATGCTACATGAACTGCATGTCAGCCAGTTCGCTCGGCGTTTTGCAAGTACCGGGGCCGCGAACCGTGCAACAGACATTCCTTCCTCACTTTGAGATCGAGGGGATTGGGCCTGCGTCATGTTGTGGATCGTCGCAGGCACCAGCAGCACATGCTTGTTCCCAGGCTACTGTTTCTAAGGTTCATCTTCGGCGTCACCCTCATGCAACTGGCGTATGCCCATCTTCAGACGAACGAGGCTGACACGGCTGAAGTGACGAAGTACTACGGTACTTTGGGCAGTGTCTCGGCTCGGCATAGGACTCCGAGGGAGAACTGTTTCAGGAGCCAGAAGGTTGCAGCTCTAGTTTTTGCAAACTGCCGCCAGGAGTCTGAGTGTGTGAGTGTGTGATTTATGCAAACGGCTGCATTCAAGGAGTCTATTTGAGTGTAAGCTGCACGCAGATACGGTATCGTTCGACACAGCGGGAGGGAGAGCCCGCTCTGCTCGCGCAGCTGTGCTGGGGAAGCAGAGAAAGCGCGGGGATACCTACCTACATATGTGCATACATATTCTTGTATACATGGAAATGTTGTATGTAGTAAAATGTAAATGTATCTAGGTGTTTGCTGCATCTGTGCTCTTTTTCGTGGTGTGTTTGTGTGTGTGTGTGTGTGCATGTGTCTGCCCCTGATTTGTGTGTTTGTGCATTGTGTCTTGAGTGAAGTGACTTGTTATTGTGTGTGCAAGTTGATTCTTTGCATGGGCATTTTTCTTCCACCCTGGCCCTACCCTTTCGCCGGTAGTGTAGAACACCTGTTTTTTTAGACATGGCTGCGAAGGCATCTCCTGCCCTCGAATAAAAAAGCCTCTGATTTTGACGATTGGCTTTCTTGTTCGGATGCAGGAAATTCTGTCACTGTTCAGGCGAAAAGTCACAGAACCTCGTGGTCGTCGATTTTGCAATGCAGCCCCATAAAATGAAGGGACGTGGATGACCCGAGCATGGCTTCGCTGCCTTGCTTGTGGTTCAGCCAGACGAGCGGACTTTCCCAGTATGTAAAGTTCCTCTGTGAAGTCTGACGGAGTCAACTTGAAGGTAGCCTGTTGTAAAGGAAGCATGCTGACGCTCTTCATGGCCATATCCGGAGGCCGATTCTGCTTGCCTTGTTTGATCGAGACAGGGCTCGTGTGTGAGATTTGTTTTTACAGACCTTATCTTGCGATGCGTGTTTGTTCAAAAAAAGCTCACTGGCTCGCTGGGTGGAAGCAGGTATAGATTGGAAGGATTCAGTCGCTCCGCTTGGGCCGATGAGCTGGATCTTGGATTCTTGCACGCAGAGTCAAGATGAGTCAGGGCGCTGATCGGGTCGATGTGGCATTCGAGTCTGCCACTGCTGGGTGTCATTGGGGTTTAGGCTTCAGGAAGCCATTCCGTGTAGAAACCTCCTGAATGCAGCCAACCTTTCTGACTGAATCTCCGCCAAAACAGGTACGGCATGTGGGTTGGACCCACCCCTCCCAACAGTTTGGTCAAGCTCTTTGGGCATAGCCATCCCGCCTAGACTGTGTAGCTAGTGTAGTTCTCCCTCATGCGCCAGGAGGGACATTTTGAAATTGGACTGATGGCTCTTGTATGTATGTAACACTTCCTGTAAGTATAACGGAATAATGCACTTCACTCAATCAGGATTACTTCATGGGCGTATACGTGCCTTGGCGAGAAAGCGGCACGCCGGAGAGATCTGCAAACTCGGTCAATTGAAGCATTGGAGTGTTGCCTGCAAGGCAATTTTGCGAGCCTCAGCTGAGGTGTTTTTTACTTTGTTCTGTTTCATCAATGTGACTTGGATGCTCTGTTTATCTCGTTTTCGAAGGCAGTCATGACGGGTGCATTGCTGGGCATAGTTGGCGAGCTGGTTTCAGGGTGCAGGAGGAATTCGACGAATGGCAGCCAAGGTGATAACAGGCATTTTTGTGGACAATGCGAAGGCGCCACCTCCGGATGGTACGGTTGACATGATATCGCGTGATTACGACGTCTGAGATCATCGCGCAAGTTTGGCGTCTTTTGGAGCAGTCCCTAGTCTAGGCCAGGAAGGAGACATTCGCAAGTGCTGATATGCCAGGAAGAAAGATTCCAATCGTTGAGTCACAATGCGACGCAGGCATTGGGGGAAACGGAAGCAATGCATCAGCGCTCTGCACTGAAGCTTGGCCTTTGGAAAGCCGCAGACTTCCGTCCACATCTGATTGCATGGCTTTGCTTCTGGCAGGCATGGGTGTAGGGATTGCTGGGCCATGGGTTCAGAGATCGGAACCATTGCTGGCATGTGGGTCGAGCCACAGACGGTCACAAATATGAAGCGGCGTTTCGCCGGGAGAGTGGGGCTCGGAGCTCGTCTTAGTGAAGCTTGTAGTAGTTGAAGCACATTGCGCATACCACGCGCCTGATGAGCAGCCCTTTTGAACTTGCCTTGGTTTCCTCACTGGTTGGCCCTTCCATCACACCTGCGCTAAAGCGAGAACTAGAGCCAACATGCCTTCTCGTACCCCTGAGCCGGCCACGGGAACTCAGGGCTTTGAAGCGCAAAATGTGGGTCAAGAAAGTGCTGGCTCTGTTCGCGCAGTTGGACTCTGGCACCTTGACGCCAGTGCATGAGACATGCCTGTGTCCGATGTCTTTGCACTCCACTGCCAGTAGCGACAGGGGGTTGAACTGAGCTTGTTGAGAGCTTCTCTAAGAAGTGAGACGATCAATCAGCTTGCCTGGTCCTCGCATGTGACTCATCGCTGTCGAAGAATCGTGTCTTTCAGTAGTGGCAGTAGCGCATGCAGTTGCAGACCGGTCGTTTTGCGGTAGCACACCCACCTCGAGTCCAGGAGCGGCATCCCAAGCCATCCTGAGTCTCATTGCAGTTCTAGAGTCTAGAGTCGTGGCAAGTCTTCGTCATTGCAAACCGTGCTGGAGTCAGCTCGTTTCGAGTTGGTGTTTGTGGTCACCAGTTGGCGGAGGCCAAGAGGGTGACCTCTCGTACGAAGAGTTCGCGGCAGAGATACAGGCACCGGGAGGGATTGGAAATAGAGGAATTTTGGCATGCGCTTCCTCTCGTGAAGGCTTCGTTTAAGTACCTTGCCCCTCAAGCTGTGGTGAAGTGCATTGATCCCGACCCGAGCCGTGCAGGCCACTGCTGATGCCGTTGCGAAGTATCAAGTCATGACCAGTCATACCTCGAACCTTTGCAAAACTATCTCAAGTTCAAGCCCGCTCGCCCGCTGGCAGCAGGATGAGCGAGTCCAAGATTGTTTCCGCCACCTGGGGATAAATGTGGAGAGCCTCGGTCTGCAAGCACATCTTTCTGAGTGGTCCTGTGCTTGGTACAAATTTCTTGCAATCGGTCCTGCATGTCTTGTTGGCCTCAGGAACCACTCCGTGGATGAGCTGTTTGACCTCTTCGATGTGGATGCCGAGGGGAAAATCGATCAATCGTCGTTTGTGCCTGGGAAGGTACATAAGTGGAGTCGAAGGGATACCGGGTCGTCGTGATGAAGCAGCCTTTCCCCCTGGATGACATACAACTAGTATGCAAAGCCTCGGTTCGGTATGGTTCCGTGGTGGTTAGCGGCCACCTCCTGCCAGCATGCCGGACCAGCTGAGGAACAGGCAATCAGGCAATTTCATGGCCACGCGAGAAGCGCCTTGACTGCCCGGAGACTGCCACAGAGAATCTGCTTTTGCTTACCGTTCCTGTCGTTTTGCTAGGCATCGATGTGTACAAGCTCCGGCGTGAAACACAAAAGTGTCCTGGCAGTTCACCAATTTGGCCAGCTTGGTGTGGTTGACCGCCAACCGCGCTGAGGATTGCCAAGCAGGTTCGTTCTCTGCTTCAAGCCGCTGGGCTTCAGTTCCACAAACCTGCAGCACGAACGTACTCGTAGTAGTCAGAACGAAAGTCTCTTGATTTTCGCCCAGAAGACTGACTCTTGCCCCTTTCGTGGCTCTTGGTAGAGCGCCCGATGTAGTGCAGACCTTGCATGTGCCCGCAGGTTGTCGACCCTGCGAACTCTGCGCTGAGCCACCACGTGTCACCCACGCCTCCTCTGTGAGGGCGGTGCAGCTTCCGTTTTGACGGTGGAAAGCCACGGCGTGACTATAAGCGTGCTGGTGTTTTAATTGGTACCGGTTTTTAGTCTGCACTGCTGGGCTGCTGGCGCTTCAACTCAAGGTTTAGGGAGGCTTCTCAAATCTGAGGCTTGTTCACTCCAGCTTCCAGGCTTGTGTTGCTTCTGTCCAGATGCCCCCTCTCGCTTGTCTAGCCTATGAGCGCCGAAATATGCTATTTCCATTGGGGAAGAGGGTTCATTTCATGTCTGGCCCGGTGCCTGTGCTTCTTTGACTGTTGGCTGAGCTGGCCTCAGTGTCGTTGGGGCGTCACTTGTGAGCGTCTGTGTGAGACCGGGCCATCTTGAATTTACAATGAGATGAGGACCAGACCTGGCTATCCACCCATCACGCGTCCTACCGCTGCGGAGATTGCAGCAGCCCCTGCATCTAGAGTCGCTCTACATGACTGCTTAACCAGCTTGTCCGCAGCACAAGAGCAGGACAGCAACTCATGTTCTTATGTTTTGGGCATCATCATCGCATTCCCTTTGGAGGGCTTACAAGCCGTTACTGACGCTGGACACTGTTGCTGGCTGTTCTCTTAACCGACTCTAGCCATCGTCACGACAGGATCCGACAATCGCCTTGCTCAAAGAGACATCGCCAGTCAAGCAGAGCTCCTCTCAGGCGGCTTAGGAAGTTTACGTCGCTCAAGGCCTAAACTAGACCGTTCGATGGTGCGCAGCACAATGCGGTGCGAGGTTGCATTCCTGACACAACGCATCTCTGCGAGTCACACCTGATTGATGCTTGTGCTGTGCATCATGGAGTCCAAGGAATTATCGGCCCTCTCAAGCTGTTCATGTGCCATGTGCATAGGCGGCAACTCTGAATTTTTGTGAGAACTCCGAAGACCATTCCAAAGGAATTGGCGTTGAGCAATGCCAGAGCACTGTCAAGAGTCTGCCGAATAGAGAAAGTCACACCTATACCGAGTCTGCTGTATGGCAATGCTCCAGGGTTCCAGACCAACCGTTCGGTGGAAAGAGTTGTGCCCTGTCGGGCTAAGTGGCCTAACATGCTGTCACTTGCAGCCCATGGTTTCGTTCGTTTTGGCACAAGATACTAGGTCCCCTCTTCGCATTCCTCACGCTCATGCTGCGCACATTGCCGAAGAGGAGTGCGCCATCAAGACCCGGGCCATCGAGCAACTGATAGAGGATGAGGTGCGGACAATGGAGCGAGAGTTCGTATGGTTGCTGTTCGGACAGGTTTCAACTGCTTGGAGAAGGTTGGTGCCGGAGAGTTCTGCAGCACCTGCTGAGGCAAAGGTCCGCGAAATGCTGCAGGAGCTGGAGGACGGCAGCATTTTGTCACCACCTGCCCATTTGCTGGAACATTCCCTAAGGCTTAAGGATGGATACAACAGGGGAACACGTGCTCGCAGGTGGGTCTTGTTGGTTAGGAATCTATTCGGGAATGGAGGCCTCGGTTCAATGAAACCGCGAGTGGGTCAAACTTTCGTGCTACCGCAGTAGTAGACTCTTCGTCGGGCGTATGGAAAAAGGTGTGCGACGACCTCGGGGTCACTTACAATTCAAGGCATCCGAAACCGGCAGGCCGAAAACAGTCACAGTCGAGCAATTGATCTGCCGGAGCGCGCAGTCGTGGACCCACTTGGGGAAGACAGCTGCCTTCCTAGTCCACAAGGCAGAGACAGTCCTGATGGTAATATGTGAGCAGTGACCTGAGCTCGTTCTGAGTGCATTCTGAGTTTGGGCACTGACACTGGGTAGTAGGAGGTTTCCTAGAAGCTTGGTGCTCTGCATGATTCTGGGATGAGGGACCCTGTTTTGTTTCGGTCAATGGGTAGGCTCCCTCGGACTGCCTCCCGACGTAGTGCTGAAGTGGTGTCACCTAGTTACTTAGTTTCCCCCGAGGCTGCAACAACACCTTCTTAGCCAACGATCACGCAAAACAAGAAAGCACTGTAGGCGCCTTCTTGACACAGCATCAAATTTGTTGAGATCACTTCAGTCCGAGTTGCAAGGGTGTGAAGGTATAACCATCGGGAAAAATCAACCACGAAGGCCTGAAACCCGAAGCCTGCGTCCTCTCTGGACCGTGCAAAGTTAGACCAAAGGCGCTGGACCGCCCAGTGAAAAAGTGTACCGGAAGATCCGAAAGCTAAGAGCAGCCTGATATGAGGAGCTGGGTGAGAAGGAGGCCGATTCGGTCAGCATCCGAGACTGTGTCGCAGCCGAGGCATTCAGGTAGCAAGGTTGTTTTCAGCAGCACTGCGGTCTGACCTCATAAAGTAGGTATCGTAGCAACCCGGGGCCCGCTGCAATGGATTGGGAAGTGCAGCATGAATGGCGAGTGGCGCACTGGAACTTTGACTGTTTTGACATCACAAACCAACGGCCTGAACAACGTCCGCCAAATCAGTTTAGACTCACTAAACCTGTTGCAAGGAGCCGGGTATTTGTCGAGGTGAAGTGAGTCACGCTTAGCGCATATGCGTTGCATTTCGTCTTCCCCTTTCTGCACGGCATGGTTACCCGGGCCCAGGCTCGGGAGTTCACTGGGCCACGAGACCCAAGGTTTTTCGCAATAGCACTTGCTCTCATGGCCTGAGGTGGGCATTGGCTCTCCGCAGTGGCTGGAGGCGCTCAGCTTGAGATGCTTCGGCAGAGCCCTGCCTTGCAGAGATCCCGTAGTGATGATGGCTTCATACTTGTCGCTGTTGTTTGCATTAGTGGTGTACTTTTGCACCGCTAGGGCGTGTCGCCTTGCCTGACCAGTCATGGAGGCCTGATATGCCACAATGTCAGCTGCATGTTGGCTGTAAACTGCTTGAAGTTTGGAGACCTATCGGGGCATTTCACCAGGGACCCGTTTGTGGCACGTCCAAGCTGAAACTGGAAGTACTTTGCTGTAGCAGCCAGGTGCGCGCTCTGCATCGCCAGAGCCTGAGTCCGGTGCATGCACTGTAAAATCTGCACCAGACGAGCTTGTCAGGGTCAGCTTTCCCTTGCATTATCCCTTGCGACGTCCCACAATCAAATATCTCCTGGCCCAGTAGTGGCATCAAGGGCGTCAGAGTGAAAAGAAATGACTGTGCTGACAAGCGCTGGCAACGGACATTCGTAGACTTCAGGACACCATCACTGCCATGTACGTCACCGATGAGTGCTTGTCTCAAGGCATCAACAACCGGCCGATGGCATTCACAACGGAATTCTATTCAGGGTGCTTGTGCTATCTGCCCCAGCATAGGCTCATTTCTTCAATAAGTTACGCTTCCTCCAAGGCTTGCCACGTCTTAGAGCTGGAATTAGCAACGTTTTCAGCTTTGGAGCTCGTCTCGAAACCCGATGTCTCCGAACACAGACTTCCGCGATCTGACTGGTTCAAGTACGTCAGGGTTGATGAAGGTTCTCAGCATCCCCTGTGCAGGTCCCACCTCATGGGCCTTCTGCGAGTCCGGAGTCTTCGCCTTCACACCTCAAAGCTGCACGTGAGGCGTGGGGCCAAGAGCAGCGTTCAAGAGCGAGGGACGCTGCAGTCCGCGATCATGTCGCACCCAACACACTGAGAGGGAGAGAGGTCCGTTGTGGACAAGTGCTAACTTAAAAAAGCGTGAATGGGACAGGGAGAGAAAGAGCGAGCGAGGGAGGGAGAGTATGGGAGAGGGAGAGTACGTAGGCACACACTTGCACCTGTCGCAAGCAAGAGAGTAGCCTCGTTGCCCGAGTGCTGCAACCCGTGTCGTTGCGGGCAGTGGCGCCTCAGCTGGCAAGACCTCTGTCTGAATCAGCCATTCCGCGGAAACCGAACATGCTACAATCACATGAGCCGCATAGCAACGGTGTAGATTCAATCTAGATGAGACTTGAGTTTCCTTTTTGCTTCTTGCTCTGCTCCAGGGCGTTTCGTGTGTGTGTGTGTGTGTGGCTCCCAGACTTCTTGGCTTCGCTCTCCTAGCTTGTCTTCTTGGCTCGTCAGCATGCGGATAGAGAGAACTACCCTTTGAACTCGCGCTTGTCCGGGTTTTGGCTCACTCGCTTGGGACTGGTATTCCCAAGACTCAGCGATTGGAAGACAGCAGAGGAGCAGGGCTTGAACATGACACTGTCAAGGACACCGAGAATCACTTGCGGGACAAGAGGAACAGCCCCC